CATGACAAACCCTGAGCAGGATTGCATTGGCAACTTGGAGGTCATGGGCACCACAGCTTGCTGCGGGCTAAACAACCCATAATGTGCTGTGGCATGTCATCCAAACTCACTCTTTGTGTGACATTTCATTTTTTGTTATAAAATAGAGAAAGATTATGATATTTGTAGACATCACTAGGAGCTATGTCCAAAAAGGAAGTACCAATAAAGAAGAAGTTCATGTTGTAGAGGCATACAATTGCCTCCATTGTTTTAAACTAATACTAGTTCCACCTACGAAGCTGCTCCTGCTAGGCATTGAAAAGGTGGTGCTTGGAAAAGGACTCATCACTTTACACAATGAATTGTCAATGTTCAGCCCTCTAAGAAGAACATAAGAAGAGCCATACATGGTCAAACCATAAGTGTGTCTAACTTAACTAGTGTAGCATTTGGTTTTCCAGATGGCTGTGGGGTAGGCTGGCCACATGTCCTACTTTACAGAGGACAGTTTGAAAATCTATGAGAGAACAGTACTTTATCAGAAGGCATCCTGGGTTTGAAAAGCTGTCCTGTTCCAAGTCTGGTTTAAAAGAGAGAGAGAGAGATAAAAAAGGCCCTTGAAAATACCCACATGGACAGGAGACTTAACCAGCACATAGATCAGCTGGTCATTGTTTTACATACTATGGTAAGATAGAAATACCATTTAAATTAAAACAATAATTTTCTAACTTTGCATTTGTATATAAACTAATACTTGTAAATGTTATGCAAATATGTCTTTATTAGGTATTTCTTCTCTTTCTGGCAATGCAAAAGGAACCACTCTTTTCTAGGAAGGCCACAAAGCAGGACATTATGGTGATGGTCCTTTTCTAAGGTGGTTCTCCAGGGACCCAACAAAGTGATGACTCACAAACACATTTTTGTTCAAGTTAGAAATGTGTGAGAAATTCTATTCATCACATTTTAAAAAGGCATCTATTTAGCCAGTTTCACCTCCGAGACCCAGAAATAGACCACAGTGTAATTTGCAGACGGAACCTGCACATTTCTGAACTTACAATGCATTCTGCAAAACAAAGAACAATTGGCAACATGCATACATTTGAAAAATGAGCAAACAAATATGCACACATTTCCAAAATGGAAGCAAACATACTCTTTCAGGGGGTGCATGTCTCCAGAAATGCATGTTTACAAAATGCACACAAAACTGCCCATCATGAAAATGTTTGTGCTTCCTCACAAAGTTGCAAGCTTGCACAGAAATGGGATAAACTGAACTTACAAAAAATGTCAATCACAAGATTAACAAGATATGATCAAGATGACAGAGAGGTAGTGATGCTCGTGCTGCTGTCCTTCCAAAGGGTGAAGCCAGCCAGATTAGCACCCCCATTCCTCCACCCAAATGCAAGTGCCACCCTTCTCCCCTGCTCCCTTGCTAACAAGGAAGGTCCATTGACATCAATGTGATTTACAGGTGAGTGAGGCCAATCAGGCTGATGTGATTTACTTCTGAGTAGACATGTGATTGAGCCTTAAGGTACAAGGACTAAGGAGCCAATTGGAGAGGCCTGACAAGATATTGCAAGCTTTTTTTCCCCAGTGGGTGAGGAGGGGACCAGGGAGGGGGACAGCACTGCTCTCCATTTTGCTAGGCAAGTCAGAGAGTGGGAAATGGCTCTTTAAGATGCATTTGGTTTTGTGCTTGTTTACGTCAATCGTCTATGAGAAGAAACAGCGATTTTTTAAAAAAGGCAAACACTGGCAGCTCCTCCTGCCCTTTCACCAAACAAACCTGGATAGGGCAAGGGGTGCAAAGTGCCACTTGCCATGGTCCTCCCACCTACATGGTGTGAAGCCAGTAGAACCACAACCCAGTTCCCTCCACCCAAAAGCAATTCTTGTTAAGCAACTGCAGTCCATTTCCCATGTTAACTTTCCCACAAGTTCATTTCATCGATGTCAATGTGATTTATTTGTGCATAAGGCCAATGAGAATAATGCGGTTTTTGTGTGAATAGGCACACATTTCTGCTAGCTGTTCTCTTGAGGCAAGAGGTCAAAAGTGACAACTGAGAAGGCTTGAAATGATGAAGCAAACTTTTTTTTTCAAAGGATGGGAAGAAGGAGAAACAATTATATTGGAAGTCATGGGGGGCAGGAATGTACCTGAGGAATCTCCTCCAAGATGATGATGATGATGAAACATTAAGATTTATTTTTATACCTCCACATAGCTGAAGCTCTCTCGGCAGTTTACAGCAATCCAAAAGCAGCCAATAAAACACAATAAAAATAACATAAAATCAGAAAAAATAAAATTAAACAATAGCAAAGGATGATTCTGCAAAACACCTGGGATGGGTCATTTCCTCAAGCCCATAGTTATTCAAGCAAGTATAAAGGATTATCTTAACCTGGCATGGAAAAGATGACAAATTTGGTACCAGCTGGGTTGCAGTGGGGAGGTTGTTCCATAGACAGGGGCCACCACAGAGAAAACTCTCCTTGTTGCACTTTCCTCGGGGAAAGTACCAAAGGTTGAATGTACTGTCCCAGTAGATCATGGCTGGGAGAGGCACTCCAACAGATCTGTGGTCCCAAGCCATGTAAAGCTTTATTCGTTAAAACCAGCACCTTGAATTGGGAATGGATGCATACAGGCAGCCAGTGCAAGTGGGCCAGAACTGGCCATATGGATTTGGACCTCCAGGTCCCAGTTATTAATTGGCTGCTGCATTCTGCACCAGGTCCAGCTTCTGAACAGTTCTCAAGGGCAACCCCATGTAGAGTCCAATGCAGTAATCTAATTTAGAGATTACTAGAGCATTCCTGTCCAGATAGTTGGTTCACCAGCTGATGCTGGTAGAAAGCACTCTGAGCCACTACAGCCAGCTTGGTTTACTCAATCTTGCTTTGCTGAAGTCCTGATAGGACACTTCCTCCTTCCACTGGATCCCAGCCCAGTGAAATTACTCCTCCTGGCCCAACCACAACATCACCATTCAGCCTGTACTGACATATGTGCTGGGGGAAAATGTAACATACTAATGAGTCTTGATATGGAACTAGTCTGAATAAATCTGGGGCAGAAATAGCAAGAGGGGGACTGGCTGGAGTGCCCATCATTTGGCACATCAGTGAGTCAGGCGTTTCAATGCCAGTAAAAATGCCTAATGTAGATTGCTCCCTGACTGCAGTGCTTCTAACTTGCCCTCCCAAATTCATTCCACTTGCCATTTTGGTCACTCAATTAAAGCAGGACTCATTTTATTTATTTAGTTCATTTCATTTTTATACTGCTCAATAGCTGAGACTCTCTGGTTGGTTTAAAAAAGTCTCATCTGCCTGAGCTACTCTTCCATCACCCGCCCCTTCCATTCTGTTCCATCCTGCCCCCCCTCCCCCTCCATAGAGCCGCTAAACATCAAAATGTCAGCAGTGATAACTTTCTTACAATGAAATGAACTTTGGTCTTCTAAGATTCTTATTTGTGGATACAAGATGGTGGAGTAAAGTCCACCAGCCAAAAGACAGAAATAAGGAAAACGCTAGAGCTTGTGAAGGCTGCTGGGAACTGTGTTTGAGATAGAGATCTTGTGCTGAGCTGTTCACCTGGACTTCAGCAGCAGGCAAAGTACATATCCAAAGAATTCACCCATAGATTAATGTGCAGTGGCCAGTTGTCTGTATGAACTAGAAAGGTAAGTTCTCCTCTCTCATGCTGTTGTCTTTATTTCTTTTTCTTTTTCAGTGGCCTAATTTAGCAGTCCCCTCTAGATGACTTCTTTTATTCTTTTTAATGCCCATAAAGTACAGTAAAAATGCCAGTGCAATGTGTGCAAAAAACTGTGGGGAGAAAAATGTTTGACTCCTTCTGTCAACCCTTTATAAATCAAAAACCAGTTGCAGATTTTTTTATCTACCCCAAGTGCTGCAATACTGTATACACTTCCTTGAGAGGAAATCTCATCAAAATCAGTTAGTGTAAGAGTATGTGATACATTTCTCAGAGTTAGGGAGAATCTGGATATTGAGTCTAATGACTGCAGCACAACCTGAGTACTTACTCTCAAGTCACTGTACAGAAGACCAGTCTTAGCAGGAGATCAACCTGGAAAACTATTACTTTGAGCCAGTTTGTTTTAGGAAATATATGAATTAAGAGCAATGGCTGAATATGGGAGACACAAGTCCTTCCAACATACAATCACAATCATATACCACTGCTCAGGATTAAGTAGTCAAATGAAGAGGGGACAGAATCAAGATAGAGTTAGTTTCTCTTGTTCCAGCATTATGATACACAGTTGTATCAGTGATCAATTTTATTTTATTTTTGCACTTTTAAGACAGGCATGTTTTACAGCTTATGAAATCTAAGAAGTTTTCTGATTGTTTTTCTCACACAAAAGCTTATACTTAATTAACAACAGGACATGAATCATGATGGACAGTTCTCTGTAAAGGATGGAAGTAGATGCTTGAATTCTCTGTCAGTTATATGGGGATGTGTGCCATGAACCAGCAGCTCTCTGTGCCAGCAGCTTCCCTGGGGATGTGGTTTTGAATGTTGGGATTGTTCCTTTCTGAGCCACATTTCAGATGTGGTCCAGGGAATTCACAGCACATCAGTTCCAATAAAAGAGATATGTACTCTTAAAATTGAAACTTTGACATGACATTATATTCTATCAGCTCATACTGTGTACACAACTGTGCTATATCACATTGATTGAAATAATAACAAGATGAAAACTCTTCTGTGTGGCAGGAAAATTCTACATGTCAATGAAGTATTTTGTCACAATTAATACACTATGACATGCTTTAAAAAAAAACCCTTCATTTGCAAAGAGAAAAGAAATGCCATTCTGGGCTGATCCTGACTGCTGAAATCAATTTCTCTTCCATAATTTCTCTCTGTGGACAATTTTTTAATGCTAAATGCCAGTCTCTGTTAGGTTTTCCAGCATCCACCTGTGTGAAGGACTTATTCGAGAGACAGAATGATTTTGAAAAATTCAATCGGTTGCATTCTACTGCTACTCTTTCAGTGTGAACCATGGACAACTGCAGAAAAAGCCTTTGAGCTTGCTAATTTGCATCTACTTCCACCAGGAGGCTATACAAGACTAATCAACATTAATGCAGAAGGTACTAAAAGTGTGGCATTGGGTGGGGTATAGGTTAAACAAAGGCAGCCAAAAAGATTGAAGGATTGAAGCATGTTTTATAGGTGGAAAGGCTAAAATATTTGTGGCTTTATAATTTAGCAAAAGTGATGACTATGCAGGATGGTGGCAAAATTATGCATGGTGCAGGGAAAACTGATAAACCGTTATCTTTTCCTGCAATGCTAGAACTTGAATTTGAATGACATTGATTAGCTGTAAATTAGGGATAGAAGAAAGTCCTTTTTCAAAAGCTGTTGACAGCCATTCCCTGAGGTGGTTTTAAAGGGGGATTACACAAACCCATGGCTTTTATTTCGATAAATGATATCTTCATATATGGTATGAACACAGAATATCACTTCCTAGGGTGAGCCAAGCAAGCAGGGGCATTGCTATCATGCCCTGCTTTAGGCCTCCTGAATCCGATGGACCAGATCAGCAGGGACCCTCATGTGTGTAGGTGATGGGACAGGTAGGATATAATAATTTATACACTTTACACTATGGCTGTTATCCAGTGGTGATGCAGCTCTAGTGCTAAAACTGTTGTGCTGATGTAAGCTGACACAAGCACAGCATGATCCATTTGCACTAGTACAATGGGAAAAGCACTGTTTTCCTGGTTTTTCCCCTTTGCAAGGCCTAAAGATGCTGTGCTAGCATTTGCTGCCACAACATCAATAGCACTACTGCTGTACCACTATTGGATAATACCCTGTGGAGCATAAATGCAATGTCAGAGTTTTATGAACTGCTTCATTCTTTAAGTTCTTAAGAGATTGATTTTGAACTGAAAGATAAATCATATTTCTTGGAGAGGAAATTCCTAATCTGAAATATCCTTTTGGCTAAATGGCTTTTTATTTCTTTGTTAAGCAAGATGACTGAAAGGAAGCTTTGGTGCCATATAATCTGAATGTTTGGCTATAGTAGTCACCTCTCATTCTACTTACAGGGACTAAAAATTAGCTTGAACCATCCATAACCTAATTATTATCATGAGCGCAAGCAAGTGAGCAAGTGAGAGAGAGTTTGGGTTCATCTGTGTGTATGATGATAGTCACTAGGTGGATTGCAGGGCACACTAAACCACCTTATGAATAAGCTATGCAGAATGAGTTGCTTGTGGAACAACTCACAGTTTATTTGGCTTCCAATCAAGCTCATCATTGCTTGTTTTTCCATTAGTCCTCCAGCTGTTATCCCAGAATCCTTCACAGCATGCCTGATCTTCCTTTCTCTGCTCTGATCACTACCTCTTTTCATTTTCTTTTTTTCCCTGAGTCTCAAAAATACACAATTGGAGTCATTTAAAAATATGACCCCTGAAATTTGTGGAATTTGCTTACACATTTTTATTTTTTTATTTTTGTCAGTTTTGTACAAGTACACTTTTATGGCTGATTCCTCTCATCAATTTCCTTGTAAGTTTCAGCTGTCAATAGCAAAGTAGTGCAGATAACTTACACTGAAACTGACAAAACAAAATCTCATCAAACATAGTGTGTGCACAGTGACCAGGCAGCAATTGCTGTGTGGTCAATTGAAAAGGAGGAAAAAGTGTCAAATGTGGGTGCACCAAAAGCAAAGAGACAATTTCCCCACTTAACAATGTAATCCTGTTGATGTTAAGTGTTGAACTGACACTTCTTATGGATCTCTACCTTGTCACTGTACTTTTCAGTCTCCCCCATAACCTTCCCTGCAGTCTGCAACTAAAAGGAAGTTATTAGCCACTGTGGTACCTGACAGTTCCAAAATGAATGAATGAATGCAGAGATATAGACAAATTTAATGGTTGGAAACTAAATGGAGGGAAAATCAAGGGCTGAGAAGTAAACAGAGGTGAAATTACACACCTGCAGTAAATGCTCTGTTACTGTAGATGCCCAAATATTTATTTATTTATTTATTTATTTATTTATTTATTTATTTATTTATTTATTTATTTAGGGAACTTCTATGCCGCCCCATTCGCCGAAGCCTCGGGGCGGCTCACAAACATAAATAAATAACATCCTATAAAACAATATAAATTAAGTCACCCTGGCCAAAGAATAAAATAAATAATATTAACAATTAAAATAACGTTTGAATAAAAAGGTCTAAATATAACCTCTATTCACCACCTGCCAGAAAATTGGTACATATTTCCCCTCCATTTACTTCTCAGCCATTAAATTTGCATATACTTCTCAGTCCAAACAATTCTGCAAATATTTCTGACAATTTAAAAAGTAAACCTCTTAACACGTAGCAGAATAGGACATAACAAATGGGGCACCAGGAGCAGTACTTTCATGCATCGCCCCCTTGGAGCCCCATTCTCTCCATGCTGTTCAGTCACTTCCTCAGGTTCTTGTTTAGAACTGTTGGTGCAGTAACTGCAGCAAAATGATTTCATTACTGGGTGGGAGATATTGTTTCCACCTACCCTTTTGGTTCACCTTCTTTTGCCACTTCCTCCCTCCTTAAGTTTCAATTGACAGCTCAGCAATTGATCCCTGGGAAATGTCTGCAAATTGACCTATGGTATATGCAGTTTTGTTAAGTCAATTTTCCTCCATGTTGCCTACTTCACCCAAGGGCTCTCTTTGACAGATAACACACAGAAGGAAATTGACCAGGCAAGACTATACATATCAAAGAGTCAGAAGAGTGCAGTTGTAAAAGACGAATAATAATCATAATACGTATACATATGTGACAATGGAGCCTACATGTCAGTTGGCAATAGACAGAGGGGCTGACACTGGCAGCAGCAAGAATGAGTTCACGAAGAGTTGGAGGGTTTTGCTGCTGTTACCGAGCAGCTTCCTAGCTGATCCCTGCAATTCACAATGAAATTACTTGAGTTTGAATTATATTATGGCTCAGACAAGCCCAGTCAATCTAATCTGACATGGTGGTTAAGAAGGCAAATGCCATCCTTGGATGTATAACCAGAAGCATGGCTTCCAGATCTAGGGAGGTGTTAGTACCACTCTGCACGACTCTGGTGCACCCACAACTGGAGTACTGCCTTCAGTTCTGGGCTCTACATCATAGGAGAGACATAGCTAGGTTAGAATAGGTCCAGTGCAGGGTCACAAGAATGGTAGCCAGGTTGGGAGAGATGACTTATGAGGAGAGATTGAGGGAACTGAGTCTTTTCAGCCTGGAGGAGACTCCAAGGGGATTTTTTAGCTACTTATAGGTACGTGAGGGGATGCCATGTGGAGCGGGCCATGACTTGTTCTTCCCTGCAGTGGAAGGCCAGACACATTCCAATGGGGCAAAGCTCAAGGAACCAGGCTTCAGGTTGGATGTCAGGAGGTACTTCCTGACAGTTAGGACCCCTAGGATATGGAATGGGCTTCCAAGGGAGATGGTTGAGGCCCTTGATGGTTGAGGCCCTTGAGAGTGAGAGTGTTCAAGGAAAGGTTGGGCAACCATATGTTGGGGATTACATGAGTGAAGCCAGCAGAGTCAGGCATCAGACTAGATGGCCTAGGAGGCCCCTTCTGACTGCCTTTTTCCTATGCTTCTGTGTTTCTGACTCACTTTGTTTCTATGTTTCTATAGGTTATCAGGGTGACTTGTTGGTGAAAAATAAGCACCTGATGGGAAGTAGTCTAAGTTTGGATGACCCAGCAATCCACCACGGCTGTTTCCCATGATGGGTTGCTGTGTTGTGCAAATCAGGTATTCAGCTTGACTATAAAAATACTGTGAGCCTCTTTGTTATAAAAACCACACACAGCACAAATGCCCATGAAGGATCTTTTTTCATTTTGCTTACTTAGGGGAGTCCCACTGAATATATAAGCGTATTCATTGGGTCACCAAAGCCATGAAGCACTCTCCTCTTCAAGGACACCTTATGTCTATATCAGTTCTACAGTTAAGTTCTGAATGCATCCACATATAACCTAGTAATACTATGTAAACTTTAAACTGCTAATATATTCACTTCAAATCCTGATCAGAGAGTAAATATCCTATATTTGGGGGCAAGAGCCTGTTCTTGCCTGTTCTCATGGCAAGCTTATATCCTAAATGTAAAATTCTTTTACTTCCCTCCATATGCACCAGAGTATCCAAGGGACTGCAGTGAGATTTTTAATTCTGAAGAAAACCCCGCAGATGGTCTTTATGTCATTCAGCCTGCGAAGGAGCCCATTGGAGTGTACTGCAATATGCAAGATGGTGGCTGGACAGTAGTTCAACACATTACTGCCAACAGTACCGTGGACTTTGATAGGACCTGGCAGGACTACAAATATGGATTTGGCTCAATTAATGACAACCACTGGTTAGGCAATGAATATATGCACCAAATAACCAGTTCTCCAAGACTATATACACTTGGGGTTAAACTTGTAGACCTTAATGCCCAGATCAAGTGGGGAGAGTATGAGCCATTCCATATTGAAAATGAAGCATCTCAATACAGGATCAGGCTTGGTTTGTTTAAAGGTAACGCTGCTGATGCCCTGTGTCAGGATACAGAAGCTTATCTCCATGATAACCAGAAATTCACCACAAAAGACAGAGATAATGATAACTATTTTCAAAACTGTGCCAAACTTGAGTACAATGGTGTTCCTGGTGGAGGCTGGTGGTACGATGCTTGTGCTGGTGCAAATCTAAATCGCAGGAATGTTATCTACTGGCAACAGGACTGCAACAAAAAGCATATGTGCAAATATGCCTGGATGTTGGTCAAGCCAGCTGACCACAGCCGAGACTGTTCCAAGGTTTGTCGATTTCAAAAGGATGAATTGTAGACAATATTACGGAATGAAATCCAGCCAGAGAGTTGCCCTCTCCTTAAATTTTGTGCAAAACAAACATGTTTTCACTGTTTGTATGTTTCTGAACATGAAAATTAGGCCCTATGCAAAAATAAAACTAAATCACAAGAAATGAATAATGAACACTCCAGTATTTATTGTTTCTATGCCAGTAACAAATTGTGGTTGATGAACCAACAGTGAAAAAGATGTGATGATATTAACTGCCCATCACTGATTTAGGTGAAGTGAGTAGAAATTATGTTTATCAAATTCATGCACTGGAGAATACTCTGAAGATTGTCAAGGGGCTATGAACATGAAGAAATAATAGAGAAAGATGACTGAGAAGAGATATATACAGAGGGAATATAAACCTTTAAGAAATACAGATTGATAAGTGAGAAATGAAAAGTAACATTTCATAGGCTTGAAATGAAGGGAGCACATCAGGGAATGAGAAAAAACACATGAAAGTCACAGCTGTGTCCCCTATCCTTTCCCACAGTATGAAAACATTTTTCAAATTTTCTTTCAGCCTCAAAAGCTTATATTAATGGTGATGTTGGAGCTGCTGCCATCTCCTATGGAAGAAAAAGGGGATGCAATAAATTGAAAGCCACAAAGTTCCCATGATCCCTTAGAAAACTTTATTAGGGAGTGAGTTTCCTTAGATGCTGTTGATGCCTCCGTCCTCCAATGAAGTGGGTGCTTACTTGTAAAGTCTCATAGCAGAACAGCCCAATCAGTTTTAAGAGGACACAACATTTTGTGGGGTAGGGTTCTATGAAGTAACATGGCTGCTGTTCTAAACCAACTTGCCAGGAAGATTGCAACACTGGATGATTCTGTGCATGATTCATCCTCAAGGAATATATTGCATAAAGATAGAAAAATGATACCTGGTGACTGATTTCCAAGATAATTGTGAAAGGTTTCTAAAAGCAGTTCTACTTCCAGAATCTTTAAGCAGATTGTATCAGCTAATATGCATATCTGAAATATTCCATCCAACAGAGGGCAGTGATGTATGTGAATGCCAACAAAGAATATTGTGTTGTGTACAATTTATGCTTATTTTTCTGTGTTTGTTTCATCTGTTTCAATCTAAAAAACTAAATACATTTAGCATACAAATGACAATTGTATACTAAAATCTTCCTTGGTTTCAAAACTCACCTTCATTCAATGGACTCCCACCATGCAGTGCTGTCAATTCAAGTGGCTTTTCTGGACCTCTGTAACAGGAAAGTTGCACTGGGTCTATTTATTCAATTTGTTTATTCAGTTACTTATAGTATGTATCTCTGAATTCCTTAAACCATCATATGATATTTGAACAACAAAATATGATAATCCTGCAGCTGGTTTTTTTGTTTTCCTTTTTTATCCATCAAGAAACCATGGAACTAACAATTCACAGGGCAAACAGGCCAAGAAGCTGCTGAAATATATAAATTTGCATTCAGTAACTGTACACCACTGGGGAAGCAGAACAGACAAATTTCCCAGGGCAGAGAATTCAACAGCTTGGGCATTAAAATGAAAATCTTTCCCACTGTATCACTCATGAATTAGGACTTCTTCTGATGACTTGGTGGATATGAGCAGTCTCCCATCAAAAGAGATGGTCCTTTGAGATGGTTTGTTTGCTCAGGGCAATCATATTACCCATTTGTAAAGCAGTTGAATACCAGAACTTCAATCTGATCAGGACTTCCATTAGTAATGGACAATACTGGAACTGACAACTGGTTTGTGTTTTATGTGGAATCTTTCTTGATCTGCACCTGCCTCGATAGCCTTTGAACCCATCAACTGTTAGTTCACTCTTTCGATCTTAGTCCCTCGGTGCTAAGCTACTTGCTCTGAAGACTAAGTAGCATGTTGACTGATTTCTTCTTGTTTTATAGTTCTTGCCTAATAGTTTGCCAGAAGAGTCAAGGATCTTTACCTTCCACTCAGCAGTTTTCTTGCTCCCCTCATGAATATCAGGAATTATCAGTACAAGTCTCAAGACAGAATCAGTTGAGATCTTTTCTTATGACAAGAACATTGGAATGGGTCTCCACATGAACTAGGATCGGGGAAAACAAGGAACCTGGAAGAAACCTCTATGACTATAACCTAAGACAATACCTCACTAGGAGAATCAGCAGAATTGGGGGAATGTAATGCTTGCAACTGGATGCACTCTGACTCCAGACCCCTCAATCACCACAAGCAAGAACACTGAGGACAAGCACAACCAAAGGTTTGCTTGAATTGGGCTTCACTAGAAAACCAGGATGGGTAGAACAGCCAGGTTGAGTACTTAAACCTATAGTGGTTGCCTGGAAAAAGCTGATGCAGCAGCCTCCTTAGATCTGTTCCTAGCCTAGTTACCTTCTGGATAGGTCCTTTTCAGCTTATCTCTAGTCCCTCTGCTGAGCAACTCCTCAGGCTTGCTTGACTGTGACATTTAGGCTGGGTTGCAAGTCACAAGAAGCCATGGTAAATTTTTGCCATTATTCATCTCTCATGTTGTCAGAACCCAGTCATGGAGTATTGGTATGGTAATTTGGCTTCCCAATGCTATGAAGAAATTCAACAGTTTGTTCTAAGGCGTTTGTGCTTCTCTGCAGGTCTGGACGGGGAGCACCATTTTATTGTTGGTGGTGAGCAAATAACACAGAGTCCTGTGGAAAGAGCAAGCAATGGAAGGGTTGTCCAGGCATCAATTTCCACTACCCACAGCTGCCTAACAACACACATGTCATTACTTCCTTTTTCATATTGGCTGAGTGATGCACCTGTTTTTACTCTCTGAAACAGGGAGAAAGTGAATGTATGGAGGTAAAAGGGGGGACCCACAACAAAAGTGTTTATTTTATTCAAACAGTCTGTGTGGGCTGAAGTGGCTAGGAAGCTTTATAGAGAAGCAGGTACACTGCAGAGGGGGAAGAGGGGGAACCCACCTCAAAACCTCAGAGGACCAATCAGGAAGAGGCAGTTGAGATCCATAGGGAACAAATCAGTTCAGAAGAGATTTTGCTTGCAGGGCCACGGATGGAGCATGTAGACTGCAATGCCACGGGAAACTTTCTGACCAGTGGGATAAGGCAAAAATCTGCATGCCACAGAAACAGTGCAGCATTGCTTGCCATGATGCGAGAACCTGCCTATATTGTAAAGTACAGATTTGAGGATCCTTCTCTGTTTTGGAAACTCTGGCCTATGCTGATGTGTTGTCACGGTATATGTTAAACAACCCACACCCCCTTGGAGAACTCAACTGATTTTGTTGAGCAGCACCCACAACATTTACTTCTAGTGTTAGTTTTTTACCTTTGTTGGAGATGAACACAACTGCTATGGGAAAACTTTTACAGTCTTACACATTTTGCCATTATTACATAGTGTGTGTCATTTAAGTGCATGTCATTTGAATCAAACACATATATCATACACATATGTATGCTTGTTCAAAAGACTAGTGTTAGTCTTTTACCTTTGTTTGAGATGAACACAACTGCTATGGGATAATTCAGTTTTCACACTTAGTTATTTCCTTCAGCCATTGTGAGAGTATTGGAGTCCAGTCATGAAGAAGCAGCTTTCAGGCAACTCTAGCAACACATGAACTGGGCTTTAAGAATTATGTAGAAATTTTTGCTACTTCTCCCTTCTTCCTTCAAAACTAAAAAGTGACATTTTTGCATTGCTATTGGATATCACCATAATCACTCCATCATCACTACTACTGATTATGCAGATGTCTTATATGAGAAAGCAATAAACATACTACATTTTTAATACAGTTCCAGATATTTACAAAGTATCCCAGAGATTGGCAGTGTAATGTTTCAGTTTTTAGCAGCATAGTTGAGCATATACTTAACTGTTACACTTAACTGATACTTTGGCATCCATCACTGTTTAGTCTTATGTATCTATTCAACAAACAAGCCTTAAACATTTATAAAACATCCCTGTTGAACAGAAACTGGTGACAAAAATAGCTTCCCATTTAACTTCAGTAGTAGAAGGCAAAGCTTTTCTTTAGCAATAACATTGCAGCTAGCAAAAAACTTTTACAGTCTTACACATTTTGCCATTATTACATAGTATGTGCCACATAAGTGCATGTCATTTGAATCAAACACATATATCATACACATATGTATGCTTGTTCAAATTAAAAATAAGCCAGTATAACCCAAAGCATATACTGTACACAGAAAAATGCTCCAATGGTGGACTAAAGAAATAATAAAAGGTCTCTAAAATAAACCACACTTTCCCTGAACAATTCTATGCAAAAGCACCAAAAACAATTGGCAAATACAAAATACTTAGAATCAATCATGTTGAATCCAGAATACACATTTTCACATTATTATACAGCTACTTTAAATTGTATTAAGTCCTTCTGACAGAAAAAAATGGGGAACTTTTGTAAATAACTCACACAGTAGTCAAGTTATTCACACTGTTGTTCAATAGTTGTGGAGAAATTATTTCTTTCCCACTCTACCTATTAAAATGCTTATGACCTTATTGGAAGCAATGATAAAATTACAGTAATTCTCATAAAATTCACTATGTTTTCTCTGAACTGTGCAACATTACATTTCACAACCAATTACCATGCTAAGCTATATATGAGGATGGTGTGGTACAGGTATGTACCCTTACACCAAAACCTTGCACTTGTCTCTTCTTTCATCTAGAACAGAATGCATATTTTGTAAACTGGATACATTTTAAACTGCAGGTCAGAAAACCATGAATAGCTATAGCATTGTCACCTATGGAATGACAAGGATCCACGTGTAATCTCATGAAATTTTGGGTCTTTCTTGCTGAATTGTGTCATATTAGTATTTGTTTCCAATCAAGAGCGCATGTGCAAACACACACACACACACACACACAGGCAAGACACACAGGCATATACATGGGGAGAGCCTGTATGAATCACCTGCTCTTTTAGTTTATTGGAGGAAGCATAT